TCGGGATGGAAAACTCGGTGATTACACTTGGGTAGGAACCTTGGGGATGCCTACCGATGCCCTTGAGGGCACACAGCAAAAGTTGGATATCGAGGATACTCTGACCAACGAATACGATATGATGACTGTATTCTGCTCTGACAAAGACTTTGACGGGCATTACAGCCACTTTTGCAAGCAAATATTGTGGCCAGTCTTCCACTACCAGATCCCGGACAACCCCAAGAGCAAGGCTTACGAGGACCATTCTTGGAAGTACTATGTCAACGTGAATCAAGCCTTCGCGGATAAGATTGTGCAAAACTGGAAGCGAGGCGACGTTATTTGGGTACACGACTACCATTTGCTACTGGTCCCCGGCATGGTACGAAAGAAACTTCCCGATGCCAAGATTGGCTTTTTTCTCCATGTTGCCTTTCCATCCTCCGAGGTGTTCCGCTGTCTCGCCGTTCGCAAGGAGCTTCTAGAGGGCATGCTCGGAGCCAATCTCGTTGGATTCCAGATCCAGGAATACACCCGACACTTTCTGCAGACTTGCAGCAGAATACTTAGTGTTGAAGCTACCCCTGAAGGTATCGAAATGGAAGACCGGTTTGTCGATGTTGTCAACACTGCGATAGGAATTGACCCGATTAGTCTGGATAAGAATCGTGGCGAGCGAGACGTGTTACGATGGCTGAATATTCTACAAGAGAGATACAAAGGCAAGAAGCTCATTGTAGCTCGCGACAAGCTGGACCATGTGCGTGGTGTACGCCAGAAGCTCCTGGCTTACGAATTGTTCTTGAATAAGAACCCACAGTGGCGAGAGCATACCGTTCTAATCCAAGTCGCCCTGTCTTCCAGTCAAAATAGCGACTTGGACGCCACAGTTTCGGACATTGTCACTCGCGTCAATTCTTCGTGGGCCAACCTGGCTTACCAGCCTGTGGTGTATCTCAAGCAGGATATCGACTACGCCCAGTACCTTGCGCTTCTTACCATTGCCGACGCGCTCATGATCACAAGTCAACGCGAAGGTATGAATTTGACGTCTCATGAGTACATCTTTTGCCAAGACGGCAAGGTCTATCCAAACCGCAAACACGGGTCTCTGATTCTCTCCGAATTTACGGGTACTTCATCTCTGTTTAGCAAAAGCGAGCTGTCCGTCAACCCCTGGGACTACCGCCAGTGCGCTGACGCCATCAAGCAAGCGCTTGAGATGGATGATGACGAGAAGACACGCCGGTGGGAGAATCTGCACCAGTCGGTTGCTCAACACACTGGCTCTCACTGGTTTGCGGAACTTCTTTCTCACCTCGATCGGGCCTACGAGGAACAGCATAAACGCGCTCAGACATCTGTGCCACGGCTTTCCATTCAGGACGTCTGCAAGAGGTACGAGGCGTCGAACCGTCGCCTTTTTATGCTTGACTACGAGGGGACGCTCGTCAGCTGGGGTCCCGTCAACCAGATCATCCCCGTCAGCCCACAGCGGACCCTCGATGTGCTGAACGACTTGCTTTTGGACGAGCGGAACATTGTCTACGTAATGTCTGGTCGCCGGCCGGAAGAAGTTGACCGTGTGTTCCGACGGGTTCCTGGCCTTGGCCTCATTGCTGAGAATGGTTGCTTCATCAAGGATTGCGGCTCTGAGAAGTGGGTTGAGATGTCTGACAGCGCGCATATTGACAACTGGAAGGCATCAGTCAAGGATATTCTGCGATACTACCTGGAGCGAACCCCAGGCGCAGAAGTCGAGGAACGCCACTGCAGCGTGCTCTTTCACTATGACGGCGCCGAAGACCAGGAGGCTGCAGCCCGTCTCGCTGCTGACTGCGCTAGCCATGTCAACGATGCTTGCGAGTCGCAGCGGGTGCACGCCATCGTGCTGGATGGAACGATTGCTGTCGAACCGTTGGACTGGACTAAGAGCACCGCTGCCCACATGGTATTTGAGAAGCTGCTTACCAGCCAAGCTTGCTCGGAAGGCAAAGACGAGGAGGGTAAGAAGCCAATCGACTTTCTCATGGTTGTCGGCGACGGCAGGGAGGATGAAAAGGTGTTCAAGTGGGCCAACAAACTCGGCAAACGACGCACAATCGACAATGTTGTCACAGTCAGCCTTGGTAATAGAAGCACGGAGGCGGCGGCTACATTATCACAAGGTGTGAGCGGTAAGTTGACAAGGGGTTTTGCAAGCCGTGGTTTGCAGCTGCTAACTGTGTTCCTTGCTCCAGGTGTCCTAAGTTGTCTACAACGACTTGCCTCACTCTAATGACGACAAGATGCGTAACTCTACCCAACATTGTTTTACTTTATAGATATGCGAGGCGTTTTGGATGAAAGAGAATTAAAGAAAGAAATGGCGCATATCAGGTTGCTTACTTGACGCAAATGACGGTGTGGGAAAAGAGAGCTCCGGATGCAACATCTTTTCTAAAAGACGCACGTGATGTGACAAAAACGGATTAAGCCGGAAGAGGACAGGGAAAAGCAACAAAAAGGTGTCCGGGACGAGAATCAAACCCCAGGGTTGAGATGCCAGTCTAAGGACAGGGCAGTAGAAGCATGCAGAAAGCATTTGGACGGCTGTAGCGGCTCTCTTACACATGAATTGACCGTGACTTGGACGGTTTGCTGAGCCATGGTCCAGCTTCCAGGCATGGATTGAATGGGGGAGAGGGCAAAATGTCTGGCGATTTCTCTTGTACATACATTGACTACAACAACTTGTCTTTGATGGGTATGGGTCCGTGTGAGAACAAGTGATGCGCAAAAATACACAAGACGTGAGACGTCAGCGAGTTGGTGCTGCAGTGTTTCAACATGGAGTTGTACAATGTAAGCTTCGCGATGACGAGCTTGGTGGTTGCCACAAAAATCAAAAGGCATAATCCAATGCGGGGCTGCTGACCCCCGCAGTCCGACATCGGGCAACACGACGGAAGCGTCGACGGTCCAGTTTCGACGAGTCAGACCATGATTTCTCCGCAGCCTCCAAGCTGACGAGATCCTCGCCTTGACATCTTGGTTGCTCATTTCTAGCCTCTACTTTGCGGTTTGTGTCGCCGTGGTTTTTTTTTCTTGGCGTACGAGCCCAACATAAAGTCGTTCTTGGACCCTGCATAGTTACCGTCGCACCGCAGGACTATCAAGTCACGATGCCTGGTGCTTTCCCTCCCCCGCCCGTGAACACCATTGACTGGAGCAATGTAGGCTTCAAGATCCGCGAGGGTGAGTTGAAAGTCCTGTGGCGATCCAAAGCACCATCCCAGGGGCGCTGTCTGTTTCTCCCCGGTTCCCAATGCTTCCCTCGACCCCCCATTGCCAGGGCTACATGTTTTCGTTGATACTGACCTCGTCGCAGTCAATGGCCACATCGAAGCCACGTACTCCAAAACGACGGGCAAATGGTCGCCTCTCCGCTTCGTGACCGACCCCTTCATGCGCATCCACGGCATGGCGCCGGCCCTCAACTACGGCCAGCAAGCCTATGAGGGCCTCAAGGCCTTCCGCACGCCCGGCGACGAGGCCATCACCGTCTTCCGCCCGGACCGAAACGCCGCGCGACTCCAGCACTCGGCTGAAGTAGCGTCCATGCCCGAGGTCCCCGTCGACGTCTTCCTGCAGGCGGTTCGCTCCGCCGTTGCCCTCAACGCCGGCTTCGTGCCTCCCCACGAGACGGGGGCCGCGCTGTACATCCGCCCCCAGCTGTACGGGTCGAGCGCGCAGCTGGGGCTGGACCCCCCCGAGGAATACACCTTTTGCGTCTTCGTCATCCCCACGGGCGTGTACCACGGCACGCACCCGGTCAAGGCCCTCATCCTGGACGAGTTTGACCGCACGGCGCCCAACGGCACCGGCCACGCCAAGGTCGGCGGCAACTACGCGCCCGTCCTGAAGTGGAGCGGCAAGGCGAAGCGGGAGGGCTTCGGCATCACGCTGCACCTCGACAGCGCCAGGCACGAGGAGATTGACGAGTTTAGCACCTCGGGCTTCATCGGCGTCTTGGCCGCCTCGGACGACGACGTGACCCTCGTGGTGCCCGACTCCAAGTGCGTCATTGACAGCGTCACCAGCGACAGCGTCCAGCATATTGCCCGGAGCTGGGGGTGGAAGGTGGAAAGGCGGTCCGTCCAGTACGCCGAGCTCCCACGCTTCAGCGAGGTCTTTGCCGCCGGGACGGCCGCGGCGCTGGTGCCCATCCGGAGCATCACGCGCCGCAAGGGCCCCGTCGGCGGCTCCCTGCCTGCCGGGCCGCGGGTCAACTCGACGGCGGACGCGGACGTGGTTACGTATATCCCCGAGGGGCAGGCCGACGCAGGTCCCATCTGCCTGAAGCTCCTGACGCACCTGCAGGCGATTCAGCTGGGCAAGGCCGCGGACGAGTTTGGCTGGCGGTGCACAGTCGGCGACAAGGACCTGGACGTGCAGGGCGCCGCGAAGGAGGCCAACGGGACAGCGACGCCGCAGACGGTTGATCAGATGGACTAGGCTGGCATGACGTGGGATTGTCAGGTAAAAGTGGGCAGATTTATTTGCGAATATGAACCACGGATGCTGCTGCAACGGAGTGAATTGGTGATGGCACCCGCGGGACGGGGGCCCATTCGCATGCGTCTTTGATATGGTGACTTGTCATTATATGCAATGCAGGAGATGTGGATAGTGTCAGGGCTGACTTCATGTCCATCCATGTAACGGGGTGCGTGCTGAAGAGCTGTTGGAAATCAGATCCGGCAAGCACAATTGTCCATGTTGATCCAGGTCACAGTCGCCCCCTCACCACCGAGGAGACTAAAAGATGCAATAGGTACGGTGGTAAGCCACGCTGAGCATGAACAAGGTCTTTTAAACGCAAGACTCTGAAAAATATGTACACGAGAACGGCGCTTTGCAAAAAACGTAGATGCCCATTTCACCCTCTCCCCATCCCATCGTGGTCCTCCCCAGGACTCTGTATCAATGACACAAGGCTTGTTCCCCAGCCGGTAAAAAGACCAAAAAAATGCCCCTCAGAAAAGACGATACTTGTCAATGGCAGCGGCAAAAGCATCTTCAATGGGCTTAATCAAGCCCTGGGCGATGCCCTGCAAGGCCTCGGGCACCTTGGAGACGACCTTGCCGCTAAAGTCGTCGGTGGCATCCTGCAGCATCTCGAGGTTGAGCAGCACGACGGGGCTCAGGATGATGAGCCTGTCGAACTTGGGCTTGGCGTCGACAATGATCTGCAGCGAGGCCGTGACCGCCTTGCTCAGGTCGGTGGTGGCGCCGGCGACGGCGAGGGCCTCCTCGGTGGTCAGCATGGCCGACTGCTCGGCCGTCTTGGAGGCCGTCTTGATCTCCTTCAGCAGCTGCGTCGACTTGACGGTGATGGGGAGCGCGCCGAGCAGGTCGCCCTTCCAGTTGCTCACGGTGGCGCCCAGGTCCGTGGTCTTGGTCTTGATGCTGGCCATGGCGTCGGTGATGGCCTTGCCGTCGGCGATGGCGGTGGCCGCGAGGGCCATGATGCTGAGGATGGGGGTGAGACGCATGGTGGGAGGAGGGAGGACAAGCCAGAGCCCGAGGCGAAGGGGGTCAGTCGGTCAAGTGGGGACAGCTGGCGATGGAGTTGGAGTTGGAGGAGGTCTTCAATGTTGGGACTCTTGGGGGGAGGATGAGGTTTTGCAACTTGACGGGAGTCGATGGGCGCAAACCATCACGGCTCGACCGGCTGGTCACAGTCTTTTTATACATTTTGCCTGCCGCCGCTTGATGCTGCTCTGCCCATCTTCATCACGTCTACTCCGTAACCGTCCCCAAGCAGCAACCCCATGCACCTTCATCGAAAGTTCAATTTGCTCCACATGTCCGGTCGGTTCTCCCCCGGATCATGGTCTGAAATGGGAAAGGGCCCGTCCCCGCATCAAGATGGCGTCGAGTTTGAGCGCTCGAATGTTCTGGTGTGCGGCGCTACTACCGGCTCTGACTCCCCAGCCCAAAGGCCGCCATGTTGTGATCGTGGGAGACTTGGCCTCGTCGTTCTGTCGACTGAGAGCACGGCCTCTCGAATACATCGAATGCACTTCCTCCGAGACTCTTCTCCCCAGCACCCCGTCTCGACCGACACATGGAACAACACCTCTCGGCTAGCGAAGCGCCCAGGCACACAAACAGGCCCAGTTGCAGATCTTGCCCGGAACGTGGATACACGCTTCCCAGAGCGGCGCTCATTCGTCCTGGAGAGCCGGGGGGCGTCCCATCCCACTCCAGGATCACAATCGAGAATCCGGGGTAAGACTGTCAGCTGCAGCCTTTCATGTCCAAGCCGAGGAGTCTGAGCGACGATGTTGTACAACTTGCCTTCTTGACACATGTGCTTGTGGAGGAAGGGCCGTCAAGAGCCATGGGACCCCGTGGCTGAGGCACGCCTCCATGTCGGCGTGAGTCGAGGGCCACATGCATGCATGTGTCGGGTTTAAGCTGCTGTGGGCGAAATTCACCCGATCCACTGCTAGGAGCCTCTTGCTGCATCGGGATGGTGCTTAGGAGTGGAATGGACACGATGGGCTGACCATGACAAGCCGGCCTTTTGCCTTTCAATCTTCTTTTCTTGGTGTTTTTTCGCGGCTTTGCAGACTGACCGTGGACGGTGTTGCAACCCATGGACAAGAGGACTCGTGAGAGATTGGCAACGTAGATCAAATTTGGCAGTTGACCCTATTTCCCTTGGCCAATTACCAAGAGGAATTCATCTCAACGGCGCTGGTGAATACATTGTAGGTTTGCGTGAGACACAGTCGAGTCGTGCGGTTTGTCATGAGGGTTACACGGCCGCAAACCACAATCCGCCGGCGGAAAACACCGTTGCAGCAAATGGTCACAATACTACGCTTCTTAATTAAATCACACATCGCGGCCCGCCTTCCCCAGCCTGTGCAGAGAAGCCGTGCTGCTACTTTTGAACATGTTGTGTTTACGCCAAGGGTGCTTTGAGCGTTCTGGGTAAAACATGCGAATCATCCTGGCAGTCAGTTCATCATTGAGACCCCTGGAGAAACGGAAGTAACATTGCGACCTACAGCACGACAGGGGTATTGTGTGCCCTAACAGCTGTGCTTGCCAGTCGCCCTTGGCCCCTTACGGAATAAGTGTCATGGCTATTGTTATAATTGGCTTTTGTCTGCTCGTGTATAGATCCAGCTGTTGGCAAGAAGCCTGGCACTACCTGACGACCCAGTGCAGCGTGTGCCGTAGTCTATACTATGCCAGAGAAATCTACCATCGACCCCTTGTAGAAATGATAATCAGGTGCTGGAACGGCATTGCAAAAAAAAAAAAAAAAAA